GGTGATAATGATGATGCTGATTCTGATGGTGATGATGGTTGTGATGGTGGTGATGATGATGATGGTGATAATGGTGATGCTGATGCTGATGGTGATGATGGTGGTGATGGTGATGCTGATGCTGATGGTGATGATAATGATGATGGTGGTGGTGATGATAGAGGTCATGATGCTGGATGACGTGTTTGGAAACAGCCAGGACGGGCAGGCGGAGCCTCGTTGTCAACCCGGCGGCCCTGTGTGCTGGACCCAAGGCCATGCCCAGGCCTCAGCGTTCCCCACGGCCCGGGAGCCACGAGCAGGAAATGTCCGCGGGCGAGGGCTAGGAGCGGCTGTGGCCACCCCCATCCTCCGGGAAACCAGACACGAGGAGGAGGCCTGGGGCTCCGGGAGAGGCCGTGCTGCCCAGGCAGTGGACGCGACACTCTGTGTTGTTAGCCACCAGGCGCCTGGCATTTCCCTGGGTAGGAGGTGCTGTCACAGGAGCAGGACATGACGTGATTCAGTACCCAGTCTGACCACTTCCCAACTGCGGGGTTGGTTGGAATGAAAACGAGGACGAAGCAGCGTGAGCAGCTGAGATGGAGCTTGGAACCCGTCGCTGGGGGCGTGTGAATGCGCAGCCGCTGGGAGCCGTGGGAGGAGAGAAACACATGCCCACAGACAGGCCCCCGTCTGCCCACAGACCGCCCCCGTCCGCCCACAGACCGGCCCCCGGCTGCCCACAGACAGGGCCCCAGTGCCCACAGACAGGCCCCCGGCTGCCCACAGCAGTGCATTCAGATTGGCCCTAAAGTGGGAACAACCCCACGTCCAGCAGCTAGTGATCAAGGAAGCACAAGGCGCTGCACCCCTCCCGGGTTAGTCTTCAGCTGGGAGAGAGGATGCGGCCCGGCACGCAGCAGGGTGCACCCTGAAAACTACGCTGCAAGAGAGAAGTCAGACACAGGCCCCCGTGGTGGGACCCTCCGTGGTGGGTCCCGTCCGCGCAGCACCTGGAGCCTGGAGCCGGCAGAGCCCCAGGGAAGGAAGGAGAGGAAGGAGGGAAGGAGAGGGCGATGGCCAGGGCTGGGGTGGGAGGAGTCGGGTGCAGGTTCCTGTTTGGGTGACTAAGATGCTATCCGACAAGTGACAGTGGAATAGTGTGTGGCCTTTGCCCAGCTCTGTGGCTGCACTCAAAACAGCCGAGTTGGGTGAATTCCTGGTGTGTGAATCACCTCAATAAAGTTGTTGTCAACGACTAACTTCACAACCAGCGTAGACAGGAGTCGGGTCCCTGATCGTGCGCACTGTGGGCACGTTGGGGGCCCGCTGCTGTTCGGTGCCTTGAGAATCCCGACGGGGCCATCCTGGTGGCGGCTGAGGACTGAGACTCAACCGCTGCTGTTTTGTCTCCCGCCCCCGCAGGGTGAGGGCCTCCAAGCCGACAGCGTGCTGACCTCCGCCCCCGCCTCCTGGGCCAGGCACCCCATGGGCCCCCCTCTGCAGACCCTCAGCCGGCTCCCACCGGGGGAGCTCAGCCCTGAGGGGGGCGGCGGGGTCCAGAAGAGGACTCTGCTCAGGCAGCTGATCGCCTACTTGGCCATGATAGCCCCCTCGCCCACCCCAGCGGGCCCCCTCGCGCCTGATGACCTTCTGCGTGTGCCTTGGAGGAAACATGGGAAGCGGTTTTCACCTTCAGAAGACCCCACCGAGCCCCTGGGCACCAGCGATGGTAAGTCAGCCCCACCCCCTCTGGGGTCGTTTGTTGTCAACTCCGTCTTCCCAGCACCTGCTTCGCTCTGTGTGTGTGTTGGGGAGCAGGGGGGGGGGTGGCTGGGAGAAGGGGCGGACGCCAGGCACCTGTGAGGAAGGCGCCTTCGGGTGTGCTTCCCCGTGTGGCTGGTGGAGGGAAGGTGGCCATGCCCACGCCAGATGGACCGGGTCGCGACACTGTCCCTGCTCACACCCCTCTCAGCGGTTTCATGGTTTCCTGACTTTACTGAAGAGGATGAGGTGGGCGGGGCCCTCGTCAGCCCCAGCCCCACATGGTGTGGGCCACACAGGCTCTGGAAGGTGGGCTATGGATGTGTTTACTCCGTCACACGCCCCATCACTGCTGTGGTCACAGGAGCCCAGGTCACATGGTTATGCGTATTTGTCCTCAAACCCTCAGGTGAGATAGCGCCGCTCACAGCGCGGGGCTGGCACTGCGTGGCCTTTCCCGCGGCCAACACGCAGCGCTGGGCTCGCTGACATGTGAGTTATGGCCTGTGTGACCGCCTGAGGGAGAGGGGCCGTGCCTGCTCCTCCGTAAGACGCAGAAGGCTCTGCACACTTTTATCCTCAAGGCCTTTCCCAAGGCCATCACACTCAGCGAGATGCCGATAAAGCAACCTTCTCCTCTGAGGATCCTACACCACAGACCCAGCAGGGGACGGTGGTGATGACACCTGTCCGAGGATCGCAGAGCGCCCTGCTTGTGTAGGTCTGCACTCGCTGCTGTTCAGGGAAGGCCCTCTCCCCCATGTAGCTGCTGTGGCACCTTTTAAATCAGGGGTGGGGAACCTTTTCCTGCCCAGACCTTTTGGACATTTATAACATCGCTCGTGGGTCATTCAACATTATCATCTTAACAATTAGCTGTTCTATTTGGTCAAACATTTAATTAACTCACCCCAATGCTTGGCAGGGCCAGGCCCACTGATTTCTGGGCCAGATGCTCCCCACCCTGTTTACATGAAAGAGATGCCAGGCTGCGGTGAAGGGACGGAGCGGAAGGTGTGCGCTGTGCACCTGGCTAAGCCGTCACACAGAAACACTCCCTCCATGGGGTTGGCATTTCCATGGGGCTGTGCCTGGGGGAGCCCATTCCCACCAGCTTTTTCCTTTGGGCCAGTGTTCTCTGCTGGCTGCTGCCTTCTCTGCTCAGATGCGTCCTCTGCCTGTTGCTCTTTCTTCCTTTCTTCCTTCCTTCCTTCCTTCCTTCCTTCCTTCCTTCCTTCCTTCCTTCCTTCCTTCCTTCCTTCTTTCTTTCCTCTTTTTGCCCCTCTCCCCTCTCCTCCCCTCCCCTCCCCTTCCTCTCCTCAGAGTATTTCTTCACCTCCCACTCAGCACCTGCCATGAATGCCTGGGAAGGTCCCTCCCGGGCTGTTAGCCTCTGTCCATGGTGCTGACCCTTCCCCGTCCCCTCAGCTTCTGTATGGCTTCTGTACATGCGATGACGCTGCGATGATGCAGGACGCCCTGTCTTTAACGCCCTCCCATCCTGTGCTATCTTCCACAACTTAAACATCTCCCAGTGGACGGCCAGGGTCCTCCCTGGTGGAAGAGGGAAATACTGCTGCCCACCAACAGCACCCAATCCTCCGAGCGCCCCCTGGTGCCCGGCAGAGGTGACTGCTCCCCGTGGAGGGGAGCCGCGCGGCTCAGAACTCCTCCCCACGTGTCACCTCCCACCCTCTTCACTGTCCCCTGCCCCTCTGAACCGGTCTGCGTGGCAAAGTTGGTTATAGTTTTACAGGTAGCATCTTCCCAGCTGCCCGTGTGCTTAGAGGAGTCACGTAAATGTCCACCATGAAGCAGAGAGAGTGTGCGATGAGCCCGCACACCCAGCCCTGGCCCCCGCTGCTGCTTCCCCTCCCCCTCCCCCTCCCCTCCCTGTCACCAAGTGATCCACCGTGGGATAGCAGCATTGCTTTGCGGAGAGATCGGACTTGCCTGAGCCTGACCAGCAGTTCTGTCCTGGAGTAAAATCGACGGCAGTGTTTTCAGGGCATCAAATAGCAGTCAGCACTCAGATTGCTCTGTTGTCATAACTTTTTTTATAGTTGGTTCTTTTTTAATTCAAAATACAAAGAAGGTCCACTGAGTTGGTGGCTACATCTGTGAAGCCCCTTTTATTTTTATTGTTTTAAATTGTTATTTGTTAATTTGAGAGAGGAAGAGGGAGCGAGAGAAGGAGAAGGAGAGGAGAGGGGAGGGAGAGGGAGAAAAGAAGGGAGAGAGGAGGGAGAGAGGAGAGGGAGGGGAGGGAGGAGAGGGAGGGGAGAGAGAGAGAGAGAGAGAGAGAGAGAGAGAGAGAGAGAGATCTATTTGTTGCCCCACTTACTGGGGCATCATTGGTTGACTCGGTATGTGCCCCGAGCAGGGATCAAACCCACAACCTTGGTGTATGGCCGACGCTCTAACCCACTGAGCGACCCGGCCAGGGCTGGCCCCTTTTGATCTACAGGTTTCTCCTCCTTCTTTTCTCTTTCCTGGCAATTCATTACACAGTTTATTGTAGAACTGGCTCGCTAGCTCGCTTGTCTCGCAGAGTTTTTCACCGTCTGGACTTTGCTGGTGGCCCCTAAGGACAGCATGCAGCTCCCTATCCCCGTGGCCCAGGCTCCAGACGGAGACTTGGCCCTTCGTGTTCGGTGTTCAGCAAAAGGCGGTGATGTGCCTTCTGTCGGGGGCGCCTTCCAGCCGTGCCCCATTTTACCACGTCAGCAGCACAGCCACTCCACTTCTGAGCAGCGTTCACCTTAACTGTTGGAAAGGTGCTCGATCTCCCCGACCCCAGCCACCCCACCCCACCCCGGGCTGCGCCTGCCCTTCCTCCCAGGACATGCCACACAGTGCCGTTCCCACGGTGATATCTGGTCGGTGCCCGTCTCTTGTGGGCTGGCGACGTGCCTCTTTCTCCATTTGCATTCCAGGGTCCAGCAGGTGCCAGACTCTTCCACATAGAGGGTCCAACCTCAAAAGATGGTGCTGTTTCCAGCCTCAGTTTCCTGACGAGGAAGCGGCAGCTTGAGGGTGGATGGTGGCTGGCCCAACCTCAGATCCTGTGAGACCCAGTGGGAGTTCTTAAGAGCCAGCTGTCCAAAAGGCAGATGTGAATACAATAGACTTGTTACTGTGGCTAATTGGTCCATTAATGTTTTAAGTGGCCATTTAGCTCCAAATTCTAGCTTTCTCTGACTGCATTGTGCGCAGTGCTATGTTGAGCCTGTAGGGGGCGCAAAGACACAAGTGAGCTCACTGAGATCCTGGAGGGAGGGGTGTGAGCCAGGGGAGGGATAGACTGTGGCCTTCTGTGTTTAAATGAAAATGGACAAGGAAAGACCAACTTCTCCCTAAGTTTGTGGTCTAGGGCCTTACAGCCCCCACTTCCCCTCCCGCCCCCCACCCCCCGCAGAAGTCCACAGTCATGCCCAAGGCAGAATTCCCATGAAGGCACAGGGCGCTGCAGCCTCTCCACGAAAACTATGTTCCCCTTCAAATAACCTTGAGGGAGGCCAGGAAAGCCAGAGGGGTGGGCAAGTGTGTCCTGACTTCTCAGGGTGGCCGCCCAGAGGGCTGCCTGCCAGGGCAGGGAGGGAGGGGCCTGTGAAAATGGCCATGTGACTCACGACCCTGGCCTTCAGCAGCTGCAGGTGAAGCTCCAGGAAAACCCGCCCCACGTGCTTCCCAGGTGATGGCCGCGTCAGGCCTGGCTCCTGCGTGTGGCCAGTGGCCGTGACGGAAAAGAGACCGTCTTCCTCCTCTATTCATTGTTTACGCCTGTCCCCTTCCAAGCTTTAGGGCAGAGGTGGGGAACGTCCCGCCCGCAGGCCAGATAAGGCCCAAGAAATAATTGGTTCTGGCCCTGCCAAGGCATTGGGGTGAGTTAATTAAATGTTTGACCAAATAGAGCAAGCTCATTTTTAAGCTGATAATTTTGTACGGCCCGAGAATGATGCCACAAATATCCAAGTGGCCGTGGGCAGAATAAAGGTTCCCACCCCTGCTTTAAAGCAACGTTAAACTCAAAGACCTACGTGAGGCAGGCGCGGAAAGCACAAAGGTCGCAGTGAGCGGGTGTGGCGGTGCTGTGGACGGACGTCGAGGGTCCAGCGCCCAGCAGCAGACCTGGGTCCCGGTCACCCCCAGGCAGAGTGCCCCCTGCTGAGAGGTTAGCCTGTCATTTTGTGGCCTGTTCGCTACGGGAGATAGCATTTGTAAACAATTGTTTGTTCCTTTTTACCAGTTACATATGTAATAAATGGTTACCACGCGAAACCTGAACACTAGACACAAAGGTAGACATTCACAATGGCCAAGACCAATGCTATCCGTGTGGAAGTCCTGCCCCTTGGGTTCCCCGTGCGACCGTGCCTTGCATGAAGCAGGGCCACCGGGACAGTGGCAGCTCTGCATCCTCCCTCTTCTATCCCATCAGTGCCTCATGGGCCAGTCCTCCTGCAACTAGGGACCAGCACACAGGCCCAGCCTGTGACCTCGGCCACTTTTAGGCAACAAAAAGTGCCATGCCCACTTTTTGTATTTAAATTTTTTAAATATTGTGGTAAAATACAGTTTGGTTTGATCATAAATTGAGTTCTTAGCTGCAGATGTATGTAAACCATGCACATGGGCCATCCACCTTCTAGAACTTTCCTACTCACAGGAAGTCTAGCAGCTGGCACTGTCCTGAACTCGTTTCTCTAAGTCCAATCCCCATGCGCTCCTGGTTCAGCCCATCCCATTCATGGAGACAGATTTCAATGCCACACACAGTGGCCCGCCTGGACGGTTTCATATTCCAGCTGGGCATTTGCCACCAGCACGTGCCCAGCTCCTCCCCTGCCATGGCTGCTGACCATGCTGCTCGTGCACGCATGTGACTGTGCATCGCGAGGAAGCATTCTTTAGAAAGCAGCGGAGTGCCACGCCGGCCACCAGCCGAGTTACACAGTTAGCGCCAACACTAACCGGGCAGTGTGTGTCCTTTGCCTCCCTGTTACAGGTAATGAGGGAGAGGTAGACTGGGTGCAGGTTCTGTGAGACCAAAGTTGGCAGCCCACCTGGGAAGGGCTCCTGGCACCAGGTGGCAGCTCAGCTCAGCACCTCCTTTAGCCGGTGAGCAGTGCACACCGCTCAGCTGTCAGACCAGGCCCCTGGTTGGAAGGAGAGCGCATTTTACTGTTCCCCCGTTCTCCCAGTGAAATAGACAGGAAGCTGACATAGGATTAAGCCTGTGGCTCCCAGGTGGAGGCCCAATTGAGGACAGAATAAAATAATAAACTCCTTCTGAGTATATCTGAGTCACTGCAAACACCTGAGAGCTGGTCTCCAGAAATTAAATGAACTATATGCTCTTTAAACAAAAGAGACACAGTAAGTGCCTCATTATGATGATGGTTATGGAGGTAGGGTGGTGATGGTGGTGGTGATGATGGTGGTGATGATGGTTGTGATGGTGGTGATGGTGATGGAGATGGTAATGATGATGGTGATGGTATGATGATGGTTATGATGGTGATGATGGTGGTGATCATGGTGATGGTGGTGGTGATGATAATGGTGATGATAGCAGTGGTGAGTAGCTTAGCTCTTTTTTAATATATATTTTTTTATTATTGATTTCAGAGAAGGGAGAGGGAGAGAGAGAAAGATCAACGATGAGAGAGAATCATTGATCAGCTGCTTCCTGCACGCCCCACACTGGGGACCAAGCCTGTAACCCGGCACATGCCTGACCGGGCATCGAACCCTGACCTCCTGGTTCATAGGTCCAATGCTTACCACTGAGCCACACTGGCCGGCAGCTCTTTTTTTTATAATGTGAAAGTATCTTTCACTCTTACATTTGAAGGACATGTTCACTGGATATAGACCTCTGAGTTAAACATTATTCCTTTGAACACTTCAAATATGTCATTCATATGCATGTTATCAAATATGTAATTGCATATTTTACATCAAATAGGTCATTCTTGTGAGATACTGACATGTCTGTGACCTCTGCTTTTCTTAAGAAGTCAGCGCCCACTCATCCATTTTGCTCTGCATATAATCTCTGCTGCTAAGACTGTCCTCACTTTGTTCTCAGCATTTGGACTGTAAGTGCCATTGTGCCCACTCTCGTGTTTATTCTTGGAGTTTCCTGAGCGCCTTGAATCTCTAAGCTAATGCTCTGCACTCATTTGAGGGGTTTGGGGAGCTTTCGTTCTTTGGCCCCATTCTCTCCTTCCCTCTTGGATTCCAGTGGCAGCGTCATGTCTGGCACTACCTGCAGGCCCTGGGTTCCATTCCATCTTTCCCGCCTCGTCGCTCTGTCCTCCAGTCACAGGACCACCTGCCTTCAGGCTCACGAGCCCTTTCTTGTCCCCCAGCCACACTCACCGACTTGTGTGGAAGGCTTCCCATTTCAGGGTGTTCCTGTCACCCCCAGAATCGCCTGTTTCTCACTGGCTTTGCTGGGTGCTGCTGCTCCGGCGTGTTTATAGCATCTTCTTGCTGTCCTTGTCCCTCCCTGATGTTGACTCCTTTTGTCTTGATTACATGTCCCGTTTTTCTGATTCTCATATGCCTGTTTGCGTCCTGTCGGGTGCTTAACTTTTCAGGGAGATGAAGCTGCTCAGGCTCCTCCCCTGGCACGTAATTCCAGCTGTTTTATCCGAGGCCCTACTTCCATCCTCCTCCTCGGGTCCATGAGTTTGGTCATAGGTCCTTCATGGGTCCACGTCCATTTTCACTGTTTAAAGGCACTGAGCCTTGGTGTGACCAGAGAGTCACACGGGACTCAGATTCAACCAACAACACGTGTTTCTGCGCACCGCTGGTGCCTGTCGCCAGCGGGAGGGTGCTGCAGGGGCTCTGTGTGTGCCTCTAGGAGCAGGGATGCGGCACTCCCTGGAGGACCCAAGAAAGGACCGGGCTGCTGTGGAGACGCTGAGCCCCCCGGACCTGGACGAGGTGGCCGGTGTGATTTCCGATGCCGCGGACGTGGAGGGGGCATGGGAAGGCCCCCGAGGGGCTGGAGGAGAGCCCGGGGAGCCGGTGGACAGCTCCGAGGCAGCGCTCGGGGAGGGCGCCCACGGCGGGGGTGGAGCGCCAGGTGAGCGCCTGTCCCTGGCACTCACACTGTGGTGGGCGGGAAGGCCCCGGCCACAGAGCGGTGGGCACCAGCCTCCCGGAGCGGCCGCAGAGCAGTGTGCTGGAAGACAGCCTGCCCTCTGGGGGGGACGGATTCCTCTGCTGCGGTGCAGAGTCAGAAGCCGCCTGATGCTAGGAAGTGCTTTGGTTTGGATTGTGTGTTAGTGAGCAAGTCAATTGTTCGACTAATACAGTGAAAGGGGTTCATCTGAATGTCTGCCTGAGGCTCACCTTCTAGGCTGCTCCAAGGGGAGAACAGAGGCCTCCCGGTACCTCCAGCACACACATGCACACATGCACTCACCCACACGCACACATCCACACATACACCCACACATGTGCATACACTCATTCACACACGCACACATGCACTTACACACGCACACCCACATTCACACATGCACTCACACATGCACACATACACTAACACACGCACACCCACACATATGCATACACTCATTCACACACGCACACACTCACACACGCACACCCACACTCACACCCACACACGCGTGCGCGCGCATGTACACACATATACTCACACACGCACACACACCAACACACATGTGCATACACTCATGCACACACATGTACACACACTCATACGCACACTCACACATGCACACACAGTCACACACACACACACACAGCAGCTGGACCTGTGGGTGGGCTCAGACTCCCCTGACAACTGGCCTTCTCTGTGCGGTTGCTTCTCAGAGCCGTTGGAGCCACATTGAATCGTGCAGCTCAGTCCTGCACATAGTAGGCGCGCAAAGAATGTGCCAGAAGCATGGTGGAGGGTGAATGTCTGTCTGGGGGTTGGGACAGAGGCTGGTGTGGAGCAGACACTCCGCTCGATGGCAGCAAGGGCTTGTGGAAGACACTGGAACTCCCCGGGACAAGGCGTTGCGAGGCAGTGGGCACTCAGGGATTGACACCCGCTCTGAGGGCTGGGGGGTCTAGAAAGTCCTGGGGGTTGCGGGGCGTCAGGAGGGCGCGGTAAGGGGTGCGCTGGGGGCATTGCAGGCCGGATGCTGGCCTAGAGAAGTGACCGCCAGAGCGAATTCCGCGTCCGCGTGTTCAGGAGACACCTTCGCAAGGAGGTTTGGGTGGGACGCTCCGCTTCCCCTTTTCACCGCCACAGCCTGTCCCGCAGGGCGGTGCTTCCCGTGTGAGCCACACGGACACACGCAGGTCCGGGGAGCGGGGTGGCTGCGCGAGCGACCACGCTTCCCGTTTAGCTGCAGCTCCTCCGTCAGTGTGCCGGGCAGCGCCTGCGCCCACGCGGGAGCGTGCTGCTAGGAGACGGGCGACGGCATCGCGTCGAGGAGGCTCGGTGGCGGCGTGCACACTGCGACGCCCGTGGTGCCACTCCTGACCAGGACTTCGATAACGCTCTTGTCTTCCACAGACACCAGAGCACGGGACGGCGGTGCTCACGGCCACGGAGAGGTAAGATACACGTCTCAACTCGCTTCGCGCTAAGCGGAACTGCTGGTCTTCTTTTTGTTCGTGGCTGAGAATGTTTCTGAAATACAAAGGTTACTTTTGTTTTGTTTTTTTAGGAAAGGATGGAAAAACCTCATAATCCCCAAACTGAGAAAACTGTAGACAGTGTGTGCAGATTGTGTATGCTTAGATATATGCTAATGTATATTTTCAGATTTATAGTAATACCAGAGGCCTGATGCACAAATTCGTGCACTGGTGGGGTCCAGCCGGCCCACCCTGATGGGGGCCATCAGAGACGGGGCTGGCCAGGGCATGGGACCGTGGGTGGTTTGCCGGCCGGCCCTGCCCCTGATCAGGGTTGGGGTGCCCACTGGGGGGTGGGGCCGGGCTGGGCAAGGGGCCACAGGCATTCTGCCGGTCAGTCTATTTACGTATTACCCGTTTATTACTGTAGGATGGGCACATTGTAGAAATATGAAAAATGGTTACTACAAAGAAGAAGGTTAGCATGCCTTAGGGTTTCCCCATCTGGGGGTGTGTGGTAACACGATCCCGCTGCATCATACGTGTGTCCCGTGTGCTGACCTCCCAGGCGCATTGCATAGGTACACTGGCAGTTTCACCTTCACCGAGCAGTGTGGCAGCCACCATCCACGTATGGCTGCTTGACCTTGAAGTCACTAAAATTAAGCAAATAAAAAATTCAGTTTCTCTTGCATGTGCCTCCTCCGGGATCGAACCCAAAACCTAGGCATGTGCCCCGACCAGGAATTGAACCCAAAGCCTCGGGTGCGCAGGCCGACACTCTAACCACTGAGCACGTCAGCCAGGCAACACGGTTATTTTTAACATGTAGATGCTGACAGCCTGCGCTGGTTGCGCAAGCTGAGATTTAACGGTGTGTGTTCGTGTGCACGAGAGGGAGGGGGAGGGGGAGGAACGCTATGACTGATTCTGATGTGCATCCTCCACCTGGTTGAGGATCTCTTGTCTGGATGTGGCTCTAGCACAGGCTGTGCAGCCCTGCCTCATCAGCTCCGCACGCCCGCGGCCGTCCTCACCCACGGGGATCCCTCACAGCCTCCCTTCGTGGGCAGGTGGACAGCCTTTCTCCTGCTTGTCCTCTCACGTGGATTTCCTTCCCACTAGGTAGGCCCTGTGAGCCTCAGCCGTGGGGACGTCCTGCAGGGCCCGGGGTCTCGACGCCCACCTGGAGCCCCGCCTGGAGCCCCTCCTGCCACCGGGATGGAGCAGGCAGAGGGCCCTGTGGCTGCCTTGTCTTCGGAGGAGGACACCATCGGGGTGGAGAACGTGAGGAGCCGGACTTACTCCACGGAGCTGCTGGCGAGGCCGCGCTCGGAGCCCAGGGCCCACAGGCTGGGGGAGCTCCCGCACTGGGTCCCGGGGGCCTCGCAGGAGCAGGAGGGCCCCGGCCACGGCCTGCGGCTGGAGGTCAAGTCTCCTGAGGAGGCCTATGGCTACATCGTGACCGAGAGCGAGTGAGTGGAGCCCTGGCCTGGACCTGCTGGTGCCGGGACCCTGGCCCCTCCCTGGAAGGGGGTCTCAGGGTGGAGGCGCTTGGGCCGCCCTCCCTGTGCCCAGCAGATCAGAACCGGAACCTGAGCTCAAGGGCAATTCCCCGAGGGATGAAGTGGCCTTGTCTCCAGGCCCGGCGGGCGGGGGCACTGGGAGGAGGAGGCCTGGGCTGTGAGTGGCGCTGCTCCGGGGAGGGGAGGTGGGATCGGGTGCTGGCTTCACCCGATAAAACACCAAACTCATTCCCCCTTTCACACCAGAGTGGTGCCCGAAGGGCAGCACACCCTGTCCTCACGCTTGTTTTGACCTGAGAGTCACAAACACCATATACCCAGCCTGCAACAGGCAGTCCCCTTGTCCAGGTCACCTCACTGACGAAGCTGGCATTTGGCGCTCAGCTTTGTACAAACGTGGTTTCTTCAGGGGATGAAAGCGTGTTTGGGAGGAAGCGTTATCTGTGTGATCGCACAGGTGTGTGCGTGTGTGCAGGTGTGCGCTGCCTTGCATCCCAGTGGCCCCCTGTCCAGGTGTTGCTGCATCGGGTTGCAAGCGATCATGGCTCACGGGTTGTTCTCAGTGGGGGAGGGCTGCCCGGCAACTGGCCCCCGATTCTGCAGGCTCACGCCGTGCCCAGAGCCGGCGGCAGCTGCGGGGAGGCGGCAGGGCGCGTTGTGAGAAGCAGAGCAGCAAACCCTTTGTTCTGAGCCGAACCACAGGCACAGGTCAGAGCCAGGCTAAAGCCTAAGACCATTTCCAACAGCGACAACGTTCTCACTGTTTCTAGAGAAGTCAGCAGTGCGGCCTCCGGCATGCCCAGCGCGGCGATGGGGGCCGCGCTGTCTCCAGGCCGTTTGTCCAGCCGCGTTGGTCCCTCCTCACCGCTGCGCCTGGCTGGTCTGTCCCAGGTGGTCCTCTCTGTCCTCGTCTTTCCTGAGGACTAGCGGGCCCCGGGGGTGTCCGGCCTTCAGAATCCGACCCAGAAAAGGGCAAGCGGGCACCTGCGAGGAGCCCGCAGAAGGCGGGCTCTGCCGAGAGCGGAGGTGCCGTGTGGGGCAGACGTCCGCCGCCTGGCCTTCTCTGTAGTGTCAGCCACCCGAGCACAGGTCTTCTCTTCCTTGGAAAACATCCTCGTGTTGTGT